TGAGCAGGCGGTCCGAGATGTCGGCCGCCATGCGCTGCTCATTGGCCTCCTCAGCTTTGAGCTTCTTGCCGATGCGCTCGAGCTCTGTGGTGGCTTCGCGGGCGGCGCAAAAACCGCTGGCGCGGGCAGCCCTCTTGGCTTCGACCTTGTCAACCCGCGCCTGCGTGAAGAGCTCCGTGGCGGCCTCCCACTTCTCGGCAAGCAGCTCGGCCGCGCGCTGGAGCTGCTTCTCGTCGACTCGCGGCGGATGCCACGCGTTGACGGTGGGGCGCTGGCCGTCGGCACTCCGGGCCCACGGCGCCGAGGGCTCCCAACCGCCGTGGCCGCCGTTGCCCCCGCCCGAACCGCCGCCGCTGCCGCCTCCGCCGCGGCGGCGACCCTGCGTCTACTAGCGCCAAGGCCGCCCCTGCTCGCAGAACGCGCACTTGGCCTGCCCCTGCGGGTTGAAGGCGCCGCAACCACCACACTTCCAGAATGACATCGCTGGCCAGATGTCCTGGAACAAAACTGGGTGGAACGATCCCACTTGGCAGCGCGCGGTTCGACCGAGGAAAAAACAGCAAGGTATGGCCGCGGCCTAGCGGTGTCCACGCCGCCTCGCGGGAGACATGGCATCTTGAGCCAAAATGGCTACGGACACCGCGGCATCCAGGTGCAACAGAGCGCCGGTGTACACCACAATGATTGTGTGCAGCGCAGCGCCTGTGCACGCCACAGCGCCTGTCTACACCAGAGCATCCGCGGGCAACGCAGCGCGACTGTACACCTGTGCCGGCGGGCAGTGCTGATAATCGAATGCGACGTTTTTCCCTCTTCCCTCCTCCTCCACATCCACCTCCTTTTCCTCCTCCTCCTCCTCCTCTTCGTCGTCGTCGTCGTCGTCCTCCTCCTCCCCGTTTTCCTCCTCCTTACCCCCTGTCGTGCGGGGTGGCGCTACAGCGCACGTGCGCAATTCAGCGCGCAGTGCGCTGCATAATGGTCAATTGAATAGATCCAGTTGGTTCTCGCACGGCCAATTTACCTGGAGCGTCCTCGACGCAAATGGGAGATGTTAGGGTGATGCGGGCGGACTCGGGAAACTCGTAGATTCCAGCGGCGCGTTGTCCATAAGGATTCCTTTGCCTTGTTTTCTGTGGACTCCGCAAGCGCTCCTTTTTGTCATGCGGATTCCTTCTAACATTCGGTATGCAAGTGTGGCGTTGTGTTGCACACGGTTGCTGTGGTGCACACAGGCGCCGTGGTGTACACAGGCACTGCAATGCACGCAGGCATTATGGTGTACACTGGTGCTGCGTTGCACACGGCTGATGTGGTGTACGCGGGCGCTGCGGGGTACAACAGCTGCTGTGTCCGCGAGCGCGGTGGCACAAACAGACGCTGTGTTGCACGCGGCTGCCGTGGTGTACGTAGGCGGCGTGGTGTACACAGGCGCTGTGGTGCACGCAAGCACTGTGGTGTACACGGGCGTTGGGGTGCAGATCGCCACATACATGCTGGTGCTACCCGTCCTCCGTCATTCCTAAGCATTCCCAGACGCCGCCGGCGCGAAACGTGATGTCATCAACCCCCTCCACACCCCCTCAGATGATTGCCGTGATCGGCCTGGAACAAATAACAAGCTCCAGCCGCGTCCGTGCGCACGACGACGATGAGCGACGAGCCACGAGCGATGACGACGACGACGACGACGACGACGACGACTGCGGACCAGACTCCTATTTGGATTCTTAAGCGGCCATCTACGCGGATCCCAGCGCGCACGGCGGCAGTGCCCGGAGCGCACTGGGGGGGGCAGCGTTACGTCACAGGGGGGGGGGCGGGGGCCATGACGCCCGTCATGCCCCAAGCAATAAAGAAATGGTCTCGAACCTCTCGCGCCACTTCTGGCTTGCCTCGTCGAACTTGTTGTCGCCTCCACCCGGGTGTCGTCCACCGTCAAGCGATGTCGACCGACCCCGCGACCCACCTCGCGGCCCACGAACGACCCAACCCGCGACCAACCCGCGACCCACCCCGCGACCCACCCGCGACCCACCCCGCGACCCACCCACGACCCATCCGCGACCCATCCGCGACCCATTCCGCGACCCATCCCGCGACTCACCCGCGACCCACCCGCGACCCACCTGCGATCCACCCGCGACCGATCCAGAAAAAATCGGCGCCTGCGGCGGGCTCGTTGTACGTGGCACCCCGCAGATGCGGATAAGAGTGAGGTGGCGATGGGGACGTCGGCAGTTTGCGAGACTCTGGAGAAGCCCGCCGCAGGCGCCAAAGTTTCACAAATTATACAGCGAGCCCGCCGCAGACGCCGATTTTTTCGTTAAACCAATGTGGGTAGGTCGCGGGTGGGTCGCGGGTGTAGAGGGCAGCAGATCCACCCCGTAATAATCGTTCCGACAAGCGAAGCCGTTTAGTAAACGCGCACAAGGAATGAATCGAACAGGGCAGGGCTGTTTAGTCAACGCCCATGGCCTTTCAGTAAACGTCAGTTGTCGGGTCCGGGTGGTTTTTCCTCCCTTGAGGGAGACTCGCGGGGCGGGTCGCGGGTGGGTCGCGGGTGGGTCGCGGATGGGTTGCGGGGTGGGTCGCGGGTGGGTCGCGGGTTGGGTCGCGGGTGGGTCGCGGGGTGCGTCGCTGGGTGGGTCGCGGGGTGGGTCGCGGGGTGGGTCGCGGGGTGGGTCGCGGGGTGCGTCGCGGGGTGGGTCGCGAGTGGGTCGCGGGTGGGACGACGACAACGAACAACAACACCAACAACAACAACAACAACAACAACAACAACAACAACAACAACAACAACAACAATTACTAGCACGTGGGGACACTCCGTTCTCACCAGTGCCAGGGTTTTCATAGGAGGCGGGCAATACCCCCACTTTGGTTGGGGGGCGGTTCAAGCCTACCGACATTTCCAACGACTCTTCGGCCACCTACCCCACCAGGCTTCGCCCACTATGACGTTCGTACTACTTCACTCGTGGCTGCGACGACCGTGGCTACTATTCAGGGCCCCCGCGGCAGGGACGACGAACGCGTGTGCGCGCGCGAGAAAAACGAATGTGTCCCGCATGGTATTATTTTACAGGGATGATGGCCCTGGCAGGTGCGCAACCGTTGTTGCAGAAGTTCGAAAAAAGTTGCTCGCAAAAGCCCGTTTGACAGAAATGATTAAAAAGTGTTGGGTTTCCTACGAATCCGCAAGAGCGCGCGGGATGACATTTTGACAATTTGTTTTTGAAAAACCATTGGTTTTTTGATGTTTTTATGTTAAAATCGCTACGAAAACTAAGGTTTTGGAAGGATTTCGTCTTGCGCGCGCGAATGTCCACTTTACCTTATTTTGTGCAAGGGATTCTTGAAGTTTGGTTATGTTAGAACAAGAAATGTCCACTTTAGCTTATTTTCGCTACGAAGACTAAGGTTTTGGAAGGATTTCGTCTTGCGCGCGCGAATGTGCACTTCGTGTCATTTTTTGCAAGGGATTCTTGAAGTTTGGTCATGTTAGAACAAGAGATGTCCACTTTGCCTTATTTTTTGCAAGGGAAAACCGATCGTAACAACACAACCGGATCTGGTATACCCCGTTTTGCCTGAGACTTCCTCACGAAAATGATGAAAATGTGGCTGCGGCCTAGGCGCGGCGGGGGGGGCGCGCACCAGGGGTCCCAACAATAATTATTCTTTAGAATTAATAATGTTCAACAACAACAACAACAACAACAGCAAGAAGAAGAAGAACAACAACAGCGCAAGACACAAACTTATCACCACGAATTCCTTATTGAGCCACGCACACAGGGGCAATGAATGACCGTTCGGCTCCCTCACTCTGATCATTTCTGGCATTTGGGCGCCTGCGGCGGGCTTCTCCAGAGTCTCGCAGACTGCCGACATCCCCACCGCCCCCTCACTCTTATCCGCATCTGCGGGGCGCTGCGTAGTATGGTATAACGATGCCCTGCAAGAAGGCAAGACGGCAAGACATTCGGGTCCGTGGTGGAGTTGTGGAGACGGGCCGAAGAGACCTTGGCCCCGGGGAGTAGAAAGGTCGGCCATGCCGCCCCCCACCGCCGACCAAAAGTGTCTTGGCCGGAGATGATTAACTCTACGGTGTTGAAGGGGGGGTATATCGTATTATCTGGGGCGCGCGGTTAAGGACCTCGACCACTGGTACCAGCGGGAATGGCCGCATAGCTTCTCACGCTCATGTAGGCGCACTCCTCACACGGATCGTGCGCCATAGGGAGCTCACTGTATGGCCCGGGGGGAGATCCACACGCGTCCCCCCGCCCATGTCGCTCCCCCACCACCCCCCACTCTAACACATCGCGCACAGGGAGCTCCACCTACAATCCCGATGGCGAGGCCACATGCGTCGCCCCGCCCACTTCGGCACCCGCCGCCAAAATCGTGCCTCACAAGGAGTTCCACTTACGGTAACACTGGCGGGGTGAGTGCAACATTCAGCAGAGCTTGAAATTTACGTAGAAAAGCGCTGGCTCTCAAACGGCCCCACGGAACCCCGACGACGGCCCCACGGCCCCCCACGAGTTCCCGAAGGAAACGGGTCATAGACCCCAAGGTTTTTCTGGGGCGAACATCTGGGCAATGACAAAACCATGTTCTGACGGTTCCATGGCCAAGAGTGGGCCCTGAGAAGCCAAAAACTGTGAAAAACTTCGTCATGCCGGGCATTGTATATCCGCGAGGACATGGAGGAACCTAGTAGGACAAGCAGAAACAACACAAACATGCACTTTCGACAGTGCCCGCGGATTTCTTGGAATTGCGCTGGACTCCCCTCCATGGCGTGCGGAGCGCGCCAGGGGCGGCGCTGGAGCCGCCACCAGGGGGGACCCAGCGCCGATCCAACAACTCCGCGCGGAGCATCGAACTTTTTTTTGATGCTGCTGCCCTTTTTCTCCTTCGAGAGGCCAGTTGACCTTGGACGGGTCTGCAGCGGGAGCGCTGCCTCCTCGCGCCGCGTGCGCAACCCCAACTCACAGGATGAGCGGCACCAACTTGTTCGGGACCGTCCTGCGGGCGACCTCCTCCCCACTGTTTCCGTTTCCTCCTGCGCCGCCTCCTCGTCCTTCTTCTGCTCCCTCTCCCTCTCGTTTTTTGTTGCGTTGACCGGACTCTAGGTGCAAAACCTGTAGCGTTCATTCTGGTGACATAAAAGCAATAAAACCGCCTGACGGCAGAACTGAGCGGTGCAACAGGTCCAAAAAGAAACGGAAAACTGAAGAGCCCGCGAAGGCAACGAATCTTATTCCTGCAGGTGTAGGCCGCGTAGGCAAGGCCGCCCCCATCCCCGCATCCCGCCCCATTATAACCTCGAACATCCTCACCTCACAAATCCCCTCACATACCCGTCAAATTGCAGCGCTGCGTCGCGCATGACGGCTTGGGCAAATGTGCCAAAACCAATGAAAGGATGTCCATTGTTTGCGACAAATGAATGCGGGCCGATTGAAGATGTCCTCTTGAACTTCAGGCCTTACTGTGGACCTGACAGCCGTGCCGAATCTGGCAGCTCGGCATGCGTTAACGGCGGCGTCATCATAATGGGATTGCTGCGCTGCCTCTGCAATTCAAGGCTGAGCCCTTGCGCTCAGCTGCCCGGGGGTTTGTCAACACGGTTACGTCCCACCCCGCCTCCACCCAAACCCATAATCCTCCCCCCTCCTCCAACCATTCCCGACCCAAGGAGATATGGTCCCATAGAATTGCGACTGTGCGGGCCCGATGGCCACAACTGTTGCTGGCCGTTGGTGGCCGCGATACCTCTGGCCTGGCTTCAAGGTGGGTTCGGCAGGTCGGCTTTCGAGCACTGCAGCCTGATGCTGTGGGCTCGGGCAAGTTCGCGTTGCTCCTCTCCTCGCTCCTCCTCCTCTCTTCCACCTTCTCCTCCAGAATGTTACGATCTCACAGAACTGCATCGGTGCGCGCCCGGCGGCCTTCTGTGCTGTTGGCCGCTGATGGCCACAGTACTCCTGGCCTGGCACGGGAATGGTTTGGGAGGTCGGCCGTTGTTACGCGCGGCGCTGTTTTCCGCGGCAGTGGCCGCGGTTGCCACTGCTCACTGCCAAAGGTGGCCGGCGACGACAAGGCCTTGCGGCCTGTCCCCTCCCCGCCCCGTGATCCCACCCGGGCATCCCGACCCGACCCACAAGAGAGAGAGAGAGAGAGAGATGAGAAGGCCAGGGAGGGGAAAGCAAGGGCAACATCCGCCGGCCCCCTTGTGGGGTCACCATGCTGTAGGACGAAGTTGCCAAGTCTCCAATATTACAATCCTGCTTTCTGCTTCCTATTGAAAACTGTTTGAATCAAGTCCGCGCGAGGGGGGGAGCCCCAAACCGGCAATTTTCCACATCAAATCGCGTGCTCTGAATTCCCGGGGGGGGGCGTGGGACATGTAAAAATATATGAGACTCGCGCACCCGAGGCCAGAACCCCTGGTCAATTACATAATGTTCGCGTCCCCGAAGCCACAAAAGGATGCAAATGTTGCGTCCCCGAGGCGACAAGCCCGTGTAAATTATACGATATTCGCGTTCCCGAAGCCATAACCCCTCGTACATTGTGCAATGCTCGCGTCCCCGAGGCCACAAACCCTTGCAAGTTACACAATTCTTGCGTCCCAGAAACTGCAGTCCTTCGTACATTACGCAAGTTTCGCGTCCCCGAGGCCATGCGCCCTTGCAAATTACACCGTGTTCGCACTGCCGAGGCCAAGATTGCTCCAAGGCGCCCGAAGATGGTTCCAAGACGGCCCAAGAGGGCCCCAAGAGTACTCCAAGAGGCCTCCCGAGAGAGCCCCACGAGGCCCAAATCGTCGGCGTTACGCAAGTGTTTGAAGAATGTTGGCCTTTCTGACAGTTTCGGCTTTCCGACGCTCCAAGACGGCTCAAGAACGCTCCGAGAAGCCCCAAGGAGGCTGGCCGCCAAGAGGCCCCAAGAGGTTCCAGAAGGCGCCCAAGACGCGCTCACGAGGCTTCCAAGAAGCCCAAAGGATACAGAGGCGCTCAAACCGCCTCCAAGAGGCCCCCGAAAGGCTCCCCACGACACCCCAACACATATACAAGAGGCGTCAGACCCACAACCCAGGCACGGTGGCGGGATCTAGGATCCGCCGCCCCCCTGTCGATTCATTGCAGGGGTGCTTGGCGTGCTAGATCCTTTCGGTTTTGGTTTTGGTTTTTTTCCGGAAGAACTCCCCCTGGGGCGTCGGCCCGTCCCACCGGCCACCCGGAAAGACTTCCAGATTGTCCAGGGGTGGTTGCCAACGGTTTTTTTACCTAACAACGAAGACTGATAGGCTTCTAGAGGTGTCAAAAGAGAACAGCAGATGACTCCACAGGGGGGTCAGGGCGGCATCCGGGGAGCTGTGTCCGAACTCGTGTCCGAACTCGTTTTTCGCAAACAGTCACACACTTCGTGCTCTTCGACCTCCCAGAACTCCATTCCCGGGCCACATTCTGAATGCCCGGAGCCAACTGTAGGCCACTTCGTGCTCTTCGACTTCCCAGAACTCCATTCCCGGGCCACATTTTGAATGCCCGGAGCCAACTGTAGGCCACTTCGTGCTCTTCGAGTTCCCAGAACTCCATTCCCGGGCCACATTTTGAATGCCCGGAGCCAACTGTAGGCCACTTCGTGCTCTTCGATTCCCAGAACTCCATTCCCGGGCCACATTTTGGATGCCCGGAGCCAACTGTAGGCCACTTCGTGGTCTTCGAGTTCCCAGAACTCCATTCCCGGGCCACATTTTGGATGCCCGGAGCCAACTGTAGGCCACTTCGTGCTCTTCGAGTTCCCAGAACTCCATTCCCGGGCCACATTTTGAATGCTGAGGCAGGCTGAGGCTGAGGCTGAGGGCTGAGGCTGAGGCAGGCTGAGGCTGAGGCCGAGGCTGAAGGCAGACTGAGGCTGAGGCTGAAGCAGGCTGAGGCTGAGGCTGAGGCAGGCTGAGGCTGAGGCTGAGGCAGGCTGATGCTGAGGCAGGCTGAGGCTGAGGCTGAGGCTGATGCAGGCTGAGGCTGAGGCAGGCTGAGGCTGAGGCCGAGGCTGAAGGCAGACTGAGGCTGAGGCTGAAGCAGGCTGAGGCTGAGGCTGAGGCAGGCTGAGGCTGAGGCTGAGGCTGAGGCAGGCTGAGGCTGAGGCTGTGACTGCGACTGCCGTTGCCACTGCGACTGTCATCGCGAATGCGACTACGACTGCGAGAACAGCAGAATTCTACAACTGGATTCTCATCTGAATCTTAAGGGGAATGCTTCCAGATATGCTCCTACACATCGCTGTTAGGTTGCTTTGCCGGGATAATCCTGCTCCAGACGGCTCCAAGACGGCCCAAGATGGCCTCCAAGACCTCCAAGACGGCCTCCAAGACGGCGCAGATGGCCCCAATATGCTTACAAGATGCCTCCAAGACGGCCTAAGATAGCCTCAAGATGGTTCAAGACGGGCCAAGAGGCCCCCCAGAGCCCCCCAAGACGCCTCCAAGAGGTCCTCAAGGAGGGCCCGAAGAGGCCAAAATCATGGATTTCCCTTACGTGTTTGAAGGATTTTGGCATTTGCTTCTTTTCGGGCTTCCGAAGACCTCAAGACGGCCCAAGAGGCCCCGAAAATCGCTTGAAGATCGCTCACGAAGCCTCCAATATGGCCCCATGACGGCCCAAAAAGCCCACAAGGAGGCCCCAAGAGGGCCCCAAGACGGCCCAAAAGGCCTCCAAGACGCACAAGATGGCCTCCAAGACACGGACCCGAAGCACCCCAAGAGGGCCCCAAGTCGGCTCAGATCCGCCCCCAAAACGGCTCTCGACGGCGTCAGACGCCATAAAACACGGCCAAAGAAGCTCCCGAGAAGTCCCAAAATGGCCCCATGAGGCCCTCAAGAGGCCCCAAGAGAGCCTAAGATAACCCAAAATGGTCTCCAAGACGGTCCCAAGATGGCCCAATCGAGCCCAAGAGTGCCTCAAGAGGCTCCGAAGAGGCATCCTCCCCCTTCTCCTTTTTCCTCATTCTCCTCCTCCTCCCCTTCCCCCCCCCCCGCGGTCCCCGAAACCTTTCCAAACCGACTCGGGGAACACATGGTCCGATAGCTTGGCCAAGCTCTAGCCCAGCTGTCGGACACATAGGCGCTTCCACAAGGGCAAGGGGCCTCGGTGATTCGCCGTAGGCGTCTTCGGTAACGTCAACGTCTCAAACTGCGCGGATGATTCCTATCCGCCCCCGCATGTCCCCAGATGCGCCAAGGCAGCGCCGAGACGCACCGACGCGACTCTGATAGATCCCATTTTGATAGAGAGGGGGCCGGCGGCAGGGAGCGAAGCCCGTACGGATAAAGCACATGGCGATTGGGCAGTGTGGGGGCGATGGCTGAGACCAGGTCGCCTAGCAGAGGCGATCGCGTCCTGAGAAGCGATAATTGTGGGCCTGAAGAGATCGCGTTCTGGAAGTAAGATTGTTTTACTTGTAGCGTACGGTTGGGTACGAATGCTGTGTGAGTGCCACGCGGATTCCGTCCTAGCTCAGTGACCTCCCCCACCGAAAAAGAACAATTAGCCTGGAGAAGGACCCAACCATATGCAGTTGTGAATGCCGCAATTGTGCTGGGTGGTGGCGGACGCATGCGGGCGGTGCCACTGGGACCTTCGGTGGAGCTCCCTATGGGGCCACGAAGCGCTGTACTGGGTGGGTGAGACGCGGTCAGCAAGGGCTGTGCTGCGTGGTGGCGGACGCATGCGAGCGGTGCCACTGGGACCTTCGGTGGAGCTCCCTATGGGGCCACGAAACGCTGTACTGGGTGGGTGAAACGCAGGCAGGGAGCAAGGGCTGTGCAGGGTGGTGGCGGACGCATGCGGGCGGTGCCGCTGGGACCTTTGGTGGAGCTCCCTATAGGGCTACGAAGCGCTGTTCTGGGTGGGTGAAGCGCAGGGAACAAGGGCTGTGCTGGGTGGTGGCGGACGCAAGCGGGCAGTGCCACTGGGACCTTTGGTGGAGCCCCCTATGGGGCCACGAAACGTGCGAGGGGT